CTCCCTCGCCTTCCTCAGTTACCACTAAGAGACATTCTGCCAGGGTGTCCTCTCTTCTAAAGTATTGATCAGTCTCCATTTTCCAGTTAAAATTTTGTACTTTCTTTCTTATCTACCTCCTTTCCACACTTTCGTCCCTCACTTCTTTTTTCTCTTTGGTCATTCCCCAAATCAGTTTTATCAAACATTATTCATTTATTCAACTAATTTCTTATGGAACACTGTGTGCAAGGTTTAGAACTAGGGACAACGGTGGATAAGCAGAAAACTGAATTTTTAACAAGTCCGTGTCCCTAAGAACTCTATAAACTAACAGTGGTGGTAAAGCCTGACTCCAAATAATGTGATACAACATGACAAGTGCTTTAGGAGCGCTGGCACTCAGTGTTAATGGGTTCCAGGAGAGAGAGTCCAAGAAGGCTTCATGGAGGAGGCGGTATCTGAGTTGTCTTGAAGAATAGCTAGCATTCTAATAGGTAGAATCAAGTGGAGTCCCCTTTAGACCAAACAGAAGTTTTTAAAATGGAGAAAAGGGCCAACAATTCTTCTCTAATATAGTAGTTCTTACATTTTAATATACAAGAGCGTTACCTGGGGACCTATTTAAAATGCAAGCTCTCGTATCCCAGAGATATTCTGGGAAGGGCCCTGAAATGTGCATTTAAAGTAAGCTGCGGCAGGTAATTCTCAGGCTGGTCAGCTTTGGAACAGACTTTGAGCGACAACGCTTATTGGATAACTGAGTTGTGGGGATTCTGGGGTTTTCCCAATGTGTCCTTGGTTACAGGAATCGGACTGCGATTTGCTATGGGCAGGAGAGAAGTTGGGGACTTAGTCCCCAGTGTTCGCCCCTGGGATCTTCAGCTTCCTGCCCGTTGGTGTGGTCAGGGTCAGGGTGGGTGGCGCCTCTCGGCACCACAGTGTAAATAAGAAGTAAAAAGAAAAGCCCAGATAAGCAAATGGACTCTGGTCCTGACAGCGCTCTGTAGCAGTGCCAGGGTCAAGTTCAGAGGAGGCTGGCCCTTCTCTCTTCCTTTGGCTTCAGTTTCCAAATCTCTCTTTCATTCGAGCACATTCTGTGCATTAAGGAGACGCAGTCAATTCCACTTTGGCTCTGAGCTAAAATGCAAGTGCTACATCCAAAGGGTGGAAATTTCCCCACTGCTCCTCCGCCCACGAGAAAGCAGCACTAGCAATTTTAATAATGGGACGTTTCTCCAATATTGGTTTTATGATACTTAAAAAGGAAAACATTGCTACCTAGGAGACGCTCCCTTTTTTTCTCCCTTAACATTTCCCTTGTAAAAAATTCATTTTGAGCCTTTGATGTCCTTTTGCTTTTTAATTTTTTTTTTTGCAAATTATCTTTTACTTAGACATGAATTTTCTGAATCTATTCTCTCGTGAAAGATGAAAACACGAAGTTTCAGGCCAGCTGGCTGGCACTGAGCACTGATTTGGGGCCAGGAGAAGTCTGAGCGCAGGTTATCTCATTGGTCCCCACAATAACCGTACAGGGCAGATATGATGACTAAGCCTGTTTTATGGAAGGGGCGATTGTTTCCATAAGAAGGGCCAGTCAGCTCTGTCCAATGTCACTAAGGAGGATGGACAAGTCCAACCCGCGTGGCTCAGAGGTTGAGCTATGAACCGGGAGGTTGAGGTTCGATTCCCGGTCAGGGCACATGCCCGGGTTGTGGGCTCATCCCCATGTGGGACGCACAGGAGGCAGCTGATCGGTGATTCTCTCTCATCATTGATGTTTCTATACATCCGTCTCCCTCTCCCTTCCTCCCTCTCCCTTCCTTCCTCTCTTAAAAAAAAATCAATAAAAATATATTTTTAAAGAAAATAGGATGGACAAAATGAGGACAGAATCAACCACTGAACCTGGAGAGACAGCGCTTGTTGGTGATACTGACGGAAACGGTCTCAATAGCATGGTGGGGTGAGAGAGATTAGGGGAGATGGAAGGAGGAATCGGAGGAAGAGAGAATGGGAAGTGAGGAAGGGCAGGCAGCGGGCACAGGCAGGTCTTTGTGGAGTTTTGCTATGACACAGAGCAGAGCAGAGGGGAGAGTGAGATTTGGAGGGCCAGGGAAGGAAGTTTAAATATGGGACCTACCAGGGCAGGCTGTGAAGGCTGAAAGGAACGATCTGGCAGAGAGGAAACTTTAGGATACAGGAGAGAGGTGGGAACTGGGGAGCAAAGTTCTTGCTGCTCACCCCTTTTCAGGGGCCCGCAGCCACACATGTGGGAATAGATGTGGGCCCTTGAGAGGCGGAGGCGGTGGGAAGATGCAATCTTTCTATATTCCAGGCTTCTCTTCTCTCAGTAAAAGGGGTGGGGTCAGCACCCGAGGGGGGTTGTTTTGATTAGAAGGTGTGAACGTGAGCTTTTGGACTTTGGGGGGGGGTCATATCACTTTAAGAAACATTGCAGACGGTGCTAGGATCCCACTCAGATTTGTGATTGTAACTTTAACAGTCTACTCAGTCTGGTCGCATGATTTTGTTTGTTTGTTTTTGTTTTTAGAGGAAGGGAGAGGGAGAGAGAGAGGAACATCAATGATGAGAGAGAATCATTGATTGGCTTCCTCCTGCAGGCCCTACACTGGGGATCGAGCCCATAACCTGGGCATGGAGATGGATGGTGGCGATGGTAGCAAAACAAAGGGAATGTACTTAATGCCCCCAAATGGTACACCTGAAATGGTTAAAATGGTGACTATGTATATGCTACCATGATATAATTTTTTAAAAATATTGACTATTAACAAATATTGATACCTGACCTCATCTCAGATCAATTAGATCAATTAGAACCTCTGGTAGTGGGGCCTCCACCTGAGTATTTTAACAGATTATGTAATTGCTGAATTAGCACATTTCCTTTCATTCATTCATTCATTCAACAAGCACACACTGAATGTGCACTGTGAGCTAGGCACGAGAGGTGACTGTTAACTTCAAAGGTCAAGGTTCTGTCTCATAGAGCTTTCCATCCTGTGGGGAAAGGTGGACAACCACCTGCAAACACATACATATTTAACCACAATTTCAGAAGCCGGTCTCAACCACCTCAGGGAGCTTGGACCAGGATGGCGTGTTGGAGGCGGACGGGGGACTGGGCGGAGGGACAGACCTGAGATCTTTACTGCAGGGAGAAAGCACAGGCCACAGCGATTGGCAGTGGTTGGAAGTGAGCAGTGAGCGTGCGGTGCAAGAGAAACAGAGGATGAGGACAGAGGCCCCTCCCCAGGGGCGCAGGAGAGATGGCTCCAGCGGTGGCCTTCCTGCTAAGTGCCTGTGTGATCTCTGACGTGTGAGAGCCTTTGTTTCTGACTTGATTTCTTCACCTGGAAAAACGGGGATCATAATACATCCCAAAACAGAGTCGTAAAAATAAAAAAGTAAGTTACTAGTAAAAATGTTGCAAAATGTTTCTTAATCAGAACCTTTTAGACAGTCACATCTCCGTTTTCTCTTTCTTCATCTGAGCAACCCCATGTGGATCCATTTGCATGGTGTTAAACACAAATGCAGCCGTATCTTTTCGCTGCACCCTGATCCCCAACCGTCCAGCGATCTCAATGCAGTTTGTAGATTATCACCGTTATTTTCCTCCTAAAGTCTTAAGGCCCCTCTAGAGAGGGAGCATCCCACGGCCATCCCACAGCCAAGCAGGACGGACCCCTGGTAGACAAATGTCTCATCCCGACTCAGGACAGTCACTGCCAAGGCCAGGAGGTCGGGCACATCCAAACCCATTCAGTGGTTTCCTGTTTTACATACATGAAAGCGCACTCCACGGTTTTCATTAGCAGGTGGAATAACTTCAACTTGCTCATGTTGTCAACCCTACATGTCGTCGTCAACCACAGGGCAGTTAGCGAGCGAAAGAATCAAGGCTTCAGAGGGTGGGGTGGGAACCGGGTGAAGGGGAGCTATGGGGGGGAAAAGAGGAATAACTGTAATAATCTGAACAATAAAGATTTTTTTTAAAAAAAGAATCAAGAGGCTTCTGTTGAGACAGAAGTCCATTTCTAGGGCGATGCCTGCACAGGCCGGAAAACTGGGCAATTCCCGGGGCTCGCCAGTAGAGGTCACTCTAGACGGGCAAGCTCTTCCCCCGGAGGTTGGAGAACTAACTGGAAAGGAATGCTTGGCTTTTGGCTCCAAAAAAAAAAAAATTCAACCTGGCTGCCTGGACTCGCCTTGAGTGCCAGGAAACGTTGGTTGCTAGTTCCCAGCCATGGAGCGTGGAGGAAATATCCAGTTGGATCCCATACAATGAAACCCCACTTCCCTGGAACTGAAACAGAAATCAGGACCAAACACGGCAGCCTTCCCCTCTCACTCTCCCTAACCCCTAAATCTTTAACCACAAGTTTCAATTCTTTGCGGTTACCAAAGAACAGAAGTAATACTTTCCGATTTATCTCATAAACCCCAGGAGTTGCGTTTTCCTTGCCTTCCTCCCTGAAACACGTCTCCCACCTCTGCTAGGCTGTTATTTGGGTTTTATGGCCCAAGAGCAGAGGGTTATGGAGTTCATTCTCTCTTCGCTTCTCAAACTTTTTCCAGGTTTAGATAGTTCGGCTGCAAGGTATCTGGTGTCCTCCCCTCTGGCAAAGATCCTCGGTGTCTGAACATTCCGTCTCCGGAGCCTCAGTGAAATAAAGCCTGCAGTGTGTTTCAGTCGGAGCCTGGCCCTCCGCTCTTAAAAATGTTCGCTGTCATTATTATTACTGTTATTATGGCGTCTGGATCATGACACTAAGAAAATTGTCAGTCCAGGACCCAGAGGAACATGACCGGTTGCAGGGATGCGATGCTACCCCCAGGTCCCTCCCCAGGTGGCCGGACAACCTCAACCAGACTGTTACTGGGAACAACCCCTCCCCTGAGCAGTTTGACCACGGGAGGAGGTGAGGTAGCGTGGCATCGCGAAACCCTATAATTTTGGTGTTAATAGACGCCGTTTACGGGCTTCGTTTTATATGACCATATAGCTAAGAATTTTCATTGGCAACTAGAATAGTGTCAGTTGTATGACTCCTTTAACTCTTGCTATTACCAGCAATACCGTTCGGAAGAACTAACTTGGACTGGGTACGGGCTATGTCTCAGGGCCCCGTGCTGGACACTTGGGCACAATTCATCTCATCTCACCGAGCTCCGGAGTCCTCAGCCCTGTGTGGTAAGGTGTTGCGAGGAATGCTTGATAATGTACATTTTCTGCTTTCTTTCGGCTCATTTAAGAATCGTTTTCGGGTTGCTTATCAATCAAGTCTAATGCTTTCTACTTTCCCAATTCCTTCTGCGTATCCTTCTTTTTTGTTTCTGTCTAGCTGAGTGTTTTAGGAGACGTCACCCAGTTTCAACTACCTCCCTTCTTCTGCTCTGAGCTCCAAAGCAAGCAAGCGAGTGGCTTGGAAGCCTCGCCGGCTGCCTTTCTGGGGCTAGGAATCAACTTCGGCTCTGCTCTACCGTTTCCCAAATTCCCGTGAGCGTCTGGGCTTTAGGAAAAGTAAGTTTCTACAAGCATCACCTGGAGCGAAGATCAATGTAAATAACAGAACGGCTCAGAGGCCAGGGGGGAGCACCATTACTCACTCAGCTGACATTTAGGAACGGGAGGGGGGATGGGCTCTCGCTTTCCAGGGCCGCTCCCACAGGCGGGCTGGAGAGGAATGGTCGGCCGGGCGAGCAGCTCCAGAGGCCTGTGGGATCCCAGGGGCATGAGACACAGAGAAAGGGACGCCGTCGGGTCCTCTCTGATGTTCTGCACGGGGCAGGTCCCTGAGCAGCCGGGCCAGGTTAGGAGGGACACACACCTGAGTCGCAGGCGTACGGAGGGTCAGAATGGAATGCAGATGGAAGATGAAAGAACTCGAAGGGCTTTCCTTTAGTGTTAAAGGGACCATGTCCTCAAGCACATGAAAGATGCTCACCCCTATTTTCCTTAATTACAGGCTACCAGACGAGCCCCAGCTGAGTGAATTCGGGTTTGCTCCGAGTGGAAACTTTTGGACGTAGAACTAAGTACTGGAATGTGTTTCCAAGGTCGGGGTGATTAAATGCTCGTTTGTCTGACAGAAGACTGGAGGCCAGAGAGCTGTCTTAGCGCTATATATACACACAGGCGCCCTATTAACGGGATAGCAACAACATACCCTGTTTATCCAGTAGACAGGTGCGTCTTAGGACTTGAGCAGGTTTAAATTTACCAAGTCGATCCCGGATAAATATAAGATCTGTGCGTTTTACAGAACAGAAACTGGACTCCGGCGGGCGGGCCGGGGGCTGAATGCGGGAAGGAACCTTGGCTCATCTCACATGGCCCTGAGCCCTGTCTCTCCAACCTGTCCTGGGACCCTGCGGCAGCTGAGGGCCAAGCTATGTGGCCCAAGTCCCCGGGGAATGTGGGCAATGTGGGCTGGGCAAGTGGGAATGTCGGGAATGAGTCCACAGTCCAGGGTTCAGATCTCACGGTTGGGCTGCGCCCTGCCCTGACATCCTCCCTTAAAGATGAGAGCTCCGCGCTCCGGGGAGCTCTGAATCCTGCCCCTGAATCATATTGCTTTTCTGAGCCCGTGTGTCTTATTATAGCGGGAAAGACTGCACCTAGTCTGGCTCAGGCTGCAGGGCACTAAATACGCGATTAAAACACTCCCTAAACTTGGGGTCCAACAAGACCACACATGCAGTTGTCTTATTATCAAACTAGTGGTTCAGTGCACGAAATTCGTGCAGGGGGGGTGTCTTTCAGCCCAGCCTGCACCCTCTCCAATCTGGGACATCCCTCTCACAATCCAGGACCACTGGCTACTAACTGCTCACCTGCCTGTCTGCCTGATCACCCCTAACCGCTCTGCCTGCTGGCCTGATCGCCCCCAAATGCCCCCCGCTTCCAGTCCGATCACCTCTAACTTTCCCCCCGCCAGCAGGATCGCCCCCAACTGCCCCCTCTGCCAGCCTGCTTGCCTCCAACTGCCCCCCACCCACCCGGCCTGATCGCCCCTAACCACCTCTGCCTCTGCCATGCCACCATGGCTTTGTCCAGAAGGATGTCCCAAAGGTCTCCCACTCTAATTAGCATTTTAGCCTTTTATTAGTATAGATTGCTGTGCTTGGTGTTTAGCAAGCCATCCCATCTCGGTGTCCTTCAAGACTAATTTCCCTCAGGCCCAGCTGGCATGGCTCCGTGGTTGAGCGTTGACCCATAAACCAGGAGGTCACGATTTGATTCCTGGTCAGGGCATATGCCTGGGTTGCAGGCTTGATCTCCAGTAGGGGGCGTGCAGGAGGCAGCCAATCAATGATTCTCTCTCATCATTGATGTTTCTATCTCTCTCTCCCTTTCCCTTCCTCGCTGAAATCAACAAAATATATTTTAAAAACCTCACAAAACTAATTTCCCTCAGAAGTAGTTTTCAATTACGATCATTTCTGGGAGGATGCTCAGGAAACTCATATATTAGTTGCCTCCGGGAAAGGGAACGAGGAGGTTGCAACAGGGGTGGAGGGAAACCTGATTTTCACTGGATACCTCTCTGTTTCTTTTAAATTGTTTATGCACGTACATTACCTATTCCAAAATAAATCTGATCATTTTTTAAGCATGAGGTTTATAAAACTCTGTGTGGAATTTAACTTAGTTCCTTTTCTTCCAAATCATTCCCCCTCCTTTTTTAATTCAGGTCTCCATTTCCTTAATAATCACAATGACCGAATGTACCTTTTACTGACCACTTCCTATGCACCAGGCACTGTGCTCAGCATCTGCTGTTCAGTATCTCAGTGAACAAGCCAGTGAGAAGGTTCTTCTGTTATCCACACAGAGAAACTGAGGCTTAGAGAGAGGTCCCATGCCCAGTAAGCGTCAGATCTGGAACTCAAACGTGGGTTTATCTGACCAGGCCCCTCTCGTAACCCCCACGGCCTACTGCCTCAGTAGCTGCAAGAACACTGAAGTGTTAACTGCTTATTAGGAACTTTCTCACAAATTCCTTTGTCGGCTAAACGCTTAAACCCTTAGAAGGCACAAAAGTGATGAAACAAAATCAAGGAAGCACGTTCTTGGCCTGATAGCAAAGCTGGGTTCTCAGTACCCCCGCCTCTTCATGCTGGGGGCACGGATTACTCTGCGGAATGACGGACTAGCCGGCTCATCAAAGTGTGAGGCCTCTGGTTGCCCCCCACCAAATCCCCCGGCAAGGACCCTCTCAGTGGGACGCGTCTTAAGCAGCATTCAAATGGAAAAGGGTTTGAGATACCACCAGTAAGTACAGCAGCCCTATTTCTGGCTTAAGCGGGAGCTCCTGGGCTCAGAGCAAAGCTGTGAGAATCTCGGAGGCCCCACGGAGGGACCAGCCCCTGCATTGCTGCTAGTTTCTATGGACACAAGAAGAAAGGAAGGGCTGCAATGAAAAATAACTGAGCAGCCAGCAACTCGAGACAAGGCTGCAGGAGGCCAGGTGGAATGACAGCTGATAACACACTACGCGCTCTCACGAAGCCCTTGTCACCCAAAGATAGAAAAGGGGTTTCATAAACAGCCACCAACGATTCCAGCTTTTGGGGGTGAAAATCAAGGCAGGAATCTGGTAGTTGTCCTTAAATAAAATTGCCTTTTTAAAAAAATATATTTTTTTTTATTGATTTCAGAGAAGAAGGGAGAGAGAGATAGAGATAGAAACATCAACGATGAGAGAGAATCATTGATCGGCTGCCTCCTGCAAACCCCACGCTGGGGATCGAGCCCGCAACCCAGGCATGTGTCCTGACTGGGAATCGAACCATGACCTCTGGTTCATAGGTTGATGCTCAACCACTGAGCCACCCCAGCCAGGCTTTTTTTTTTTTAATATAAAAATTGCCTTCCTTCATGTAACTTATTCACAGTTAGGAGGATTTAGAATATAGTTCATACTGTATTTTCTCTTGTGTAAAGTTTTCTTCTTCTTTTTCTCTCAAGAGGTCAATTTGGTCTTAACGACTTTTTCTGTTTTTAAATCTGTGGCCTACGGAGCGACAATAGCCTGGAATAGCCTGGGCAATGATAAAAAAACCAGAGCTACATACTGTACCTTCACGTTAAGCTCGGCCTTTCCCTTCTAGTCTAGAAGCTGGAAGGGCACGTCCCAATCGGCTGGGGTCCTGAGGGTGTGGGGGTGCGGGGGTGGGGGGTGCGGGGTGTGTGTGCGCGCAGCAGGCATCTGCTCCCTACAGCACGACCCCTCCTCTCAGCCTGCAGGGGGAAGGCTGCGATGAGTGACAAGCTTAGGGCTTATTTTCAGCTTCAACCCACAGCCCTTCATGTGTGATCCTGAGCAAACCACTGAGCCTGGTCGTTCCACATTTTTGTCGTCTAGAACACGGGTCTGAGGGTGCGGACTCTGCACCGTTTCCCAGGGAGGTCCTAGGCAGGAGGGCGGTCATGGGTAAAAAGCTTGGTGAGAACCCAGAGGAAAGGCGGCGAGTGAATTCCCGGGTTTATTACCAGGACGGCAAACAGATCTCGACACTGCAGTCCAGTAAGGACAGTCAAGGAACACTAAAGTTCACTTGG